CATACCGGGGGTTGTAAAATCTTATATATATATATATAAGGAACTCTTAGGAAGTTCTGATTGAATAGCAAAAATATGTACAAATTCACAAAACCTAAAAGAGGGGCAATATTTTTCACATACGTTTCCCTTGTTTGTTTTCTCAATTTTTTTTATATCTAGAGATTCAGCTTTGCTAATTTAAAAAGAATTAGCATTTTTTCATAGATACCATGCTGTTTCAGGAATTTGTCTGGATTCCAGGTTATGGGCAAGAAGTTCTGCAGCAATATTTTTTTTTTTTTGCTTTTCTAGGGATTGTTTAAGAGAACTATACTTTTAGGGAATTGCTAAGAAAGATAGCATGCTAGTTCCTTCTGGATGGTAGTAGCCTATCATAATTATAAACCTCATTTATTGGAAAATTATTGGAAGAAATCCTCTGCTGGAGAGATGTCTATGGAGATTCTCAATAATTCAGGTCATGGTTGCCCCAAAGGTGCTTTTCCAAAAGGCAATTGGATTTTTTTGATTTTTTCTTTACAAATATTTAGCTTCTCATCCACTTCTTGGGTGAGAAACGAAATGCTTTCAAAGAAAAAACCAAGAAAGTCCAGTTGCCTTTCAAAAAAGCACCTTTGGGACTTTGCTGGAAACGTTTCAATTAAATTAATTTACCCAGTTTATCATTGTCACTTTGGGATATTTACTATCTCTCAAACCAATGTACCAGAAGCTTGTTGGGATGATAGGAAATGTTGGAGATGGGAGTGCTATGAATGACATCTTGAATTCTTGGAGAAGATGCATTTTAAAACTAATAAAATGAGTAATTGGAAGCTTAGTCAGATGATGTAGTTTCTCTGCCTGTTCTGAGTGAAGATGTGAAGAAGTGTGAAAATACTGTTGGTATCTATATGAAGGTAAAAGAGGAGACTTTTAGTAGTCCATAATTTGGTAATCCTAGAGAATTAATTCTATCACCCTTTGATATCTCACTGAACCAGCTGGATTAGCCTTGCAAAACATTCAGATTGCATTAGAGCAAAATAAATGGACTTGATTTATAAAGGTCACAAAATTGAACTTTTGTTTGATAAGCTTATAATTCTAAATTTGCTTTCCTTAGTATATGTTTGCATTATTGGCTATAACTTTAATGACAGTTCTATCATACACATTGCTACAGAGACGGTTCAACCTCTGATTTAATGTGTATTTGTTTTTATTTACAGGGGTGTACTGTAGTTTTGAACTCTGCTTCCAGGTAAATGGCTAGTAGCAATATCAATCCAAAGACGCCGTGTAAAAAAAGTACTATATCTTGTTTTGCTTTTAATCTTATCCAGCAGCTTTTAAATCAGTCCACTTATTATATCTGTGACATTTTCTTCCTCCCCATTCCCTTCAAAACGTTTTCTGCTGTTGTTGTACTTGGAAATTTGAGCCCTCCGCCGCGGGACGCGCTCTGAGAAAAAAATGGGCGGGAACGCAGCGCTGCTTCTGTTAGTTTCGCAACCTGGAAACGCTCTAGGGCCAGCCGCGGGTCCAGCGCGTCGTTCCAAGAATGGCAACTGCGTCTTCCGAAATACGCTGAAGCGCAGCTATTTTGTAAGCCTTGGATTTGGGTGAGGAAAGAGGCAAAAGTAAGCGAGGAGGAGCCGAAGCCGGGGTTGTGCTCATGTGACCGCTGGCGGCACAGGGCTGGGGCTACTGAGAAGTGGCTGCAACTGCTGCCGCTTTTGCCCGTTTTTGGAACTGGGTAACAAGCGAGAGAGACCGGAGGATTCGCTCCTCTCAAGGATGCGAAGCCGCCTCGCCCCAAACAGATGATGGCGATACGAGAGCTGAAAGTCTGTCTGCTTGGAGTGAGTAGCGACCGAAAGAAAGAAAAATACGAGGGGGGAGGGGGATATGGGAAGGAGACGCTGAATTATGGGTAGCAAGTGAAGATTTTAAGCAAACAGCGTCCCGTACAAACGACCGACTGAGAGCGCGGGCCGAGTGGAGGAAGGTCGGGGCTGCAAAGCAGCTTGGCAAGCCTGCGATTTACAGAACAGCTTTCTTTGTCTTCTTTTTGGCCCATTCTAGTTCGGATACGGACTGGCTTTCCACTCACTTTACTTTTTCGATTTGCTTGCTGGGAATTTTGGTAGCTCAGGCAGTTAGACTAAATAAGGATTAAGCAGGCATACTTTCCTCCTCTTTGTCCGAGATTTGTTCCAGTTACGTTCTACTTGATCTGTTTTCCTTTTACCTGATGGCAAACGTTTACAGCTATTCTCCTGGGAGACGAGTTTTGATTCCCGCAGAAATGGTGATGGAATCCCACTGAATCCTTAACAATGCCGTGCGCACGCAATGCTGAATGCTGCTTTTTAGCAAATTAAATAGAAACTTGCAGAAACTGAAATTCGTGTGGCAAGCTGATCATATGGAATAATTTTTCTTTTAACTCTTTTAACCAATTATTAAGAGTAGGGTAACTACACTCTCATACCTGCATTATGGTCAGATTCACAGATAGGTGTATTTTTGTACAAATGGTTAGCATGTTGTTTTCCTGTTGGAAAATACTCTTTCAGAAGTATTACTTTCAACTATAAAAATACAGAACTCTCATTCTCCTTTCATTCCCTCTCTTCTACAAGTTAAGTGTGTTGTGTTTTATCCTAAATATGGTGTTTTTGTGGTTTGTATTTAGCAAGTAACATTTTGAGCTCAGATAAGGGATTGCTACACACTTTAACTGATTTTGGCTGTAAATGGACAGAAATTGCTTCACTGCAAAAAGCAGTTCACCATGAAATGCAACTCAGCAAAAACTATTTCATTCTGTGGCTAACCATATCCTCTTTTTAGAATAATTCTCTGCAGTGTTATGGTGAATTCCTCCCAGCTGATAATTTGCAAGCCGACATAGACCAGTGTCAGGGAATTCTTCCTTTCTTTTCCTCCTCTGTTTTGTACAGTCATGGTGATTTAATAGTTTAGTTTACACTGCCTAGATTTAGCTCCCATTATTAAGAAAAAACTACATCTATTTATTATGAATAAACCACAGTTCACATTTACAGCTAAAAGGGGCCCCTAAGTTTGTAAAAACATTCTGTTCAGACTGAAGTTAACTTAGTCTCTGCTTTGTGGATTCTCCTATTTCTTCTTCCTTCCCACCTAATCCAGGAAAATAAATACTCTTGTTTTCTCTTTGATGGGCTTGTTTTTTTCAAAGGAATAGATTACATTTCACACTTCCACTATTGAATCTGTAAAACAAACAAGGTCAAGTGGCCCAGCCTTTCATGACAGGCGCTCCAGCACATCAATGTAAAATTACTGGTAAAGACAATGGGGACTCGAGATAAGTTGCCTGCTAGAGCACACACTAGCCTATTAATGTGACAGCATTTATATTTATTTATATACTGCATTGAGGCACCTGTTACATGCATTTATAAGGATTACCATTCATTTTTTTGTAGGCATAGATTCATAGACGTGGAATCAGAATTTTGACTATGGAGTCCTATTCCCATCTTTGGGTAGGAATCAAAATGAAAATATCAAAGCAGATGGCTTTCTTACCTCTTCAGGGAAGAAGAACCTTGCTGGTTCTCTGGATAATTGGAGTCAACTATTGCTCTGCATTTAATGTCAGTGCACTATAGAAAATAGAACTTGGCTACTCTCTATGCAAAATTCCTTTAGATGAATAAGTATTACTATATGTTAAGCTGTGAGAAGCAGGTAAAGGAATTGTTTTGGTATGAGACAGGCAGACAAGATATGGGGGATTTAAAAGGAAGTGTTTAAATTGAACTGCTACTTGGGACTGTTATTGTTTCCAAGTTTATATTTCTTACACCTGCATGCGTCTTGCTTCTTGGGTTTGTTATCTATATGTGACTTAACATCTCATGGCTATATAAGCCCAAGACTTTCAATCTCTCTTCATGGAATTAGTTTTCAGTCCTTGATGCTAGTTTTTAGTCCTTCATGCTTAATTTGTAATCAACTTCTAAGATGTTTTTCAAAATAATTTTGCCCCTGATCTATACCCAATATTTTGATTCCTGTAACATTTGGTTCTGTTAAATTTCACTGTTCTGTTCTGCCAATTTTCTCTATCAACATTGTTTTCATTTTATTTGTTTATTAAGTTATTTACTAACTTACGCACTTTGTATCAAATGCAAATTTAATAAACACATTCCCTATCTCTTCATTCAAGTAATTTATTTAAAAGTTAAAGAAATGAGAGTTTAGGATTTGACTTTATAGCATTCCACTTAATGTCTTCTTCCAATCTGATAAGGAATTATTGATGAGTGTTTTTTCAGTTCAGTTTTTAAGCCAAATATGTAGTATTAAATTTTTAATGGATTGAATTCAATAATTACTTATCTCAATATCTTTGTATACTTTGTCAGATTTTTTTTTTGAATCAAGGTATATTATAAGTAAAGAATTTCCAGAATCTGTTAAGGGAGTTGCTTGATCAAAGAACATAAGATAAGGTTTGCCTGTTAAAAATTGTTCTACAATAGATAAATCAGTGTTGAGTTATTGTAATCACTTTATTGTCCTCAAGATTCTTATAGGTAATATGCTTTATAATCTGGAAACTTCCTAGGTATTGATATTAACTTGACTGTTATAGCTTTTCTTCTTTCACTAGATTTTGGGTATAATGGCATTGTACACAACTGATCCCACAGAATATGTGACAATAGTTGTAGAGAAAAAGTAGCAGCACTTTCCCATCTTTAATCAACACAATGTTTTTTCTAATATATTCAAATATGCTTTTGCTTGGCATGGTGATCTGCATCATTTCTCCAGACTAATGGAAAATCTGTATCCAGCTTCATTAACTTGTGATGAATTTTCATTCCACATAACTTTATTTTTTTATTGGTTATTTAAACCAGACGCCTAATAGTATTTAGAAGAAAAGAAGTTCCCCATAAATCCCCATAAATTCTATTTAAATGCTAAGATGTGTGTATGTGTAAAATATTATCTTTTATAAAAAAAAATAGGAATGGAGTCAGGATGGATAAAAATCAATCATTTTTAAAAAAATAAAAAATAAAAAATGATTTAAAAAATAAAATAGGATTTTTTATTTTTATCAATATATTTTAATAAAATGCTTTTGGAGTAAAAATCCATTTAAAGATAGTTTACTATTTAAGATACGTTAATTAGTTTATTCAGCATGAAATGGAGCTTAGTTATGTAGCATGAGGCTGTATGTTCTGCTATAATGGGACTGTCAGTGAGTCAACAGCAGGTCAGGAGGAGCTGCTGTGGGACAGAGATGACAGTTGCTCTTTAAAAATTATGATTTAAATCAACTTGATTTAAATCAAGCATCTTTACTAGATATTTAAATCATCATTTAAATCAACTTGATTTCAATAAAATCCATTATTTTCTGAATGTAAATCCAACATTTTTTGCTATAAAAATTGTGCTTTCATAAAAAATCAAGGATAGTTTTTTCAGTATTTTTATTTAGAAACATAGCGTGTTTTGATCTTCCTTAAGCAAAATGAAATTCATTAAATTAACATCTACTTAAGTTTTATCAAACATATTACATATTAATCTGCATAGGATTGTGATTTTAGTATTTTGAAAGGCTAATATCTTAGAAAAAAACTTTACTACCATAATAGTAAAGTTAGATGCACAAGTATTTTTTAACACCAACAGGATACATAAGCTTATACAATTCTTCACAATATGAAAAACGTTTGCTTGGAGTAGTAATTACTGAGTACACATTTTTTTAAAATTTAAATAAAATTTAGTCTAGGAAAACACACTTTAATCATGGTATATTGATATTACATTTCATGAAGGCAGTCACTTTTAATAGAGGTGTTAACATCTTTATAAACTAGACCAAGTTTTTAGGAACAGCTGTTAGAACTGAGTCGTTGAGGGCTCCTAGTGATAAAGCAATAATGTATATAATTTTGCAGCTAATGCTACATAAATAAATGATTTTACTGGCCAAACTATTTTTACTGCAACTCTGATTATTTATTTATGAGAATTTATATGGCCATTCATTCACTTTCAGTGACTCTGGGTGGCTTATAAAAAATAAAAAAATACAAATACAAATAGTAAAAACAGTAACCCATCCACCCTCTACCTCTTTTGATCATAAGTTAACCAGTTTTGCTAGGATCATAAAGTACAACACAATCATTAAACAAATCCTATGGTTGTTAAATGAATCCAGCATAGCCAATGGACACCGCAACTGATCAGAAATGCAAGGCTAGTGCCCAAAATGCAATCAGATGATCCACGGGGGGTATGCAGCACTCATGATTTCAAGAACAGGTCATAAGTATATTTTTTAAAAGTCTGACAAAACCTTGGAGGGGTTAAGCAAGGACTTTCTATACATCAAAGAAATCAGAAGAATATTAGTGGGAAGCCATCCATCAGTCGCTTACTGTTTGAACAGTAATATGAGTATCTTAGTTAAAAAAATGGTTTACTGGTTTGTTTTTGATGATGTTCATGGTTCCAAAGAAAAACGTGGAAAACTTTTGAATTTCAAACCATTTAATAAGTTAATAAGACATCAGAAGTTCAAGTGGAAATAGACTGATTTGCAGAATATTTATCGGAGGGTCTTTGCTCAGATAATGGCAGAGATGACTAGAACATTTTTCAGTTTGGCAGTTTTATGATACTTTACAGCTTTATTGCCTATTGCTCAATATTGTTTCAAATATAATAAAAATATTTTTCTCTACACAGAACTTTTGTTTCTTTGAATGTACTGTTCAAACTGCATAAAATAGTTTATACTTTTCCTTGCATCAAATAATATAATCCAAATACTTTTGTAGACTGTAGATTCTGAGATTAATACACTAGTTGAAATCATTGGAAATGAATGTGTAGGAGGCAATACGAAAATATTTCAATTTAAAATATCCTGAAAATCTATCCTATAAAGCAGAGGCGGGGAACTATGACCCTTTTATGACTTGTGAACTTAAAATTGGAATTCTGGGAGTTGAAGTCTACAAGTCATAAAGGGCCCATAGTTCCCCATCTCTGCAAAACTAATTTTAAGCCATTGTCCTCTTCCTTTTATCCCTAAGGATAACCTTCAATAAGGATTTTCTACATTGTTAGAGAACTATCATGAATGGCACTCATTTTATTTTTATTTTATTTCTAATAACTGTTCTAGAATTGTCCTTGAATGCAACAAAAATATAGTTAGTTTGCAAGTTGCAGTTATTGACAGCTGTGTTTAGACATTTTCTCTAAGGAGCACTTGGAAATGTGGTTAAAGGCATGGAAAACATTGTAGAATTGCTATATCCAATCAGCTGATTTTGCTGATGCTTTTTTGGAATTGCAATAAGAGGAAATGTAATTCCTCATTATTTATTGGCTTTTCTTTACCATTTTACATATATAACATGTTTCCTTAGCACTTTACATATGTAAGTTCATGAATGCCACATGTCTGAGCAGCTGAAGGAATCAAGACTGCTTTCTTCCTGGGTCCTGCTTGATGGCATTGTTTAACTGAGGGGACCCAACAGAAGTAGAACAGGCAGATACTAAAGGAGAAAGACAGTTCTCTTGTTTAAAGCGCTCTCTCTCTGTCTGTGTCTCTGTCTCTCTCTGTGTCTCTCTCTCTCCCTCCCTCCCTCCCTCCCTCTCCCTCCCTCCCTGCAAGATAAGTGACTGTGTGGGTGCAGAGAGGTTCTATATTGAGAGTTATGCACATAATGCATAAGTAGTATTTGCTACATCCTTTCAGTTTGAATTACACCTAAAATATTCATAATATGTTTAACTGGAAATAAATATTTTATATCCTTGATACCTATGTATATTTAATTTCTTTTAGGATAAATATATTAGCCATTTTACTTGTTATCAAATTCTGGAGCAAGACTAATTTTATTTAATGAAACAAATTGTTGATTACAGAAAGAAAAGGTGAACTTGCAATACTTTAATGAACATTTCTGAATTTTGATTTTGTTAAACATTTTGTCTAAATAAAATGTTGTCTATGTTAGAAACTGAATAATAGCAATAGGAAAGGAACATGCAAAAGAAATGAGCATAAAGCCATGGTTCAAGGTAACATCATTAATTTTAAGGAATTGAATAGATTGTGAGCAAAGGAATAAAATAGACTCTCTCATATTCCACAAAAAATTAAATTTTATCCAACCTATCTGTTCAAACTTTTTAAAGATTTTCCTAGAGTCAGACAATTACATCTACAGTACTTCCAATATGAATGGAGCATGCAGGATATATTGGTACGGACCCCAAAGATCTTTAAATAAATTATGTATAGATCATTTCATCAAATTATAAGATCAATAGAATACAGTGAATTTAGTACTATTTCGACAGAATTACTGTGTTTTTTTTAATTGAAAATTTTTGGAAAAAAAACTTTTACAAATATTTACCTCCCCCCTCTGAACCTTCCCCCCAACCTTCCCCCACCCCCTGACTTCCCAGAACAAATACAGGGTATAAATCTTTAACAAAGATGTTCTAAAATAAACTTAAATAAAGTTAGTGTCATCTTTCATTTGAGCTTTAACTCCTCTTTTGTTAGGCTAACTCTAAATAGATTATATCGATCCTTGCTTGTTCAGTCATAAACTCTCTGGAATTTCTTAGTCCCATATTTATTTTGAATAGTCAATCCATCTTCTCCACTCCAGTTTATATTTC